CATAAGAAATAATAGGAGGAGATTGGGAGGTCTCTTCCCTTTCATTAGTATTCTCTTCATCTTCTATTTGTTTTCTTTTCTTTATGTAATTGGCAATATAAGGATTTTCAATGCTATTCACCGCACAATACATATAAATCTTTTCTAGATCAAATCAAGAATTTTATCAAGACTAAATTTTGGAATACCCTCAGTTATACGTTTCATTTCTTCATAACCCAAAAGAAGGCTAAGTTCTTTATGATGCTCAAGGGTAATGAAATTATCACAATATTTGGACACGACTTGATCATGAAACAAATAGCATTGGAGATTTAAATGACCATGTTCATTGCAAAGTTCACAAGGGGCACGAAAAATATTGAATTTTTTAGCACATTCATCTAGCTCTTCTTGCAACAATTTGGTTTCTAAGTACTTATGCCTCTTGCAATATATATCTTCTTTATTTGGTGTGTTCATGCAAACATGCACTCCACAAAAGTTGACATGCTTATGAGTGATATTTTCATCATGACTAGAGCAATCATCATTAGTACCATGGATATTCAAGGAGTTCATACTAACAACATTGCAATCATGCTCATCATTCAAATATTTAGTGCCAAACATTCTATGTAATTCTTCTTCTAGCACTTTGGCACAATTTTCCTTTCCATCATACTCACCAAAGATATTAAAAAGATGAAGCGTATGAGACAAACTCAATTCCATTTTTTTAGTTTTCTTTTATAAACTAGACTAGTGCTAAAACAAGAAACAAAAAGATTCGATTGCAAGATCTAAAGATATACCTTCAAGCACTCACCTCCCCGGCAACGGCGCCAGAAAAGAGCTTGATGTCTACTACACAACCTTCTTCTTGTAGACGTTGTTGGGCCTGGAAGTGCACAGGTTTGTAGGACAGTAGCAAATTTCCCTCAAGTGGATGACCTAAGGTTTATCAATCCGCGGGCGGCGTGAGGATGAAGATGGTCTCTCTCAAGCAACCCTGAACCAAATAACAAAGAGTCTCTTGTGTCCCCAACACACCCAATACAATGGTAAATTGTATAGGTGCACTAGTTCGGCGAAGAGATGGTGATACAAGTGCAATATGGATGATAGATATAGGTAATTGTAATCTGAAAATATAAAAACAGCAAGGTAACAAGTGGTAAAGGTGAGCGTAAACGGTATTGCAATGATAGGAAATAAGGCCTAGGATTCATACTTTCACTAGTGTAAGTTCTCTCAACAATAATAACATAGATAGATCATATAACAATCCCTCAACATGCAACAAAGAGTCACTCTGAAGCCACTAATAGCGGAGAACAAACGTAGAGATTATGGTAGGGTACGAAACCACCTCAAAGTTATTCTTTCAAATCAATCCGTTGGGCTATTCCTATAAGTGTCACAAACAACCCTGGAGTTTTTACTAGAATAACACCTTAAGATACAAACCAACCAAAACCCTAATGTCACCTAGATACTCCATTGTCACCTCAAGTATCCGTGGGCATGATTATACGATATGCATCACACAATCTCAGAATCATCCAACCAACATAAAAGTACTTCAAAGAGTGCCCCAAAGTTTCTACCAGAGAATCAAGAACGTGTGCCAACCCCTATGCATAGGTTCCCAATGTCACGAAACCCGCAAGTTGATCACCAAGACATACATCAAGTGTTCATAAAAGACTCAATCCGATAAGATAACTTCAAAGGGGAAACTCAATTCATCACGAGAGAGTAGAGGGGGAGAAACATCATAAGATCCAACTACAATAACAAAGCTCGGGATACATCAAGATCGTGCCATAGATGGAACACGAGAGAGAACACGAGAGAGAGAGAGAGATCAAACACATAGCTACTGGTACATACCCTCAGCCCCGAGGGTGAACTACTCCCTCCTCGTCATGGATAGCGCCAGGATGATGAAGATGGCCACCGGTGATGGATCCCCCCTCCGGCAGGGTACCGGAAAGGGGTCCCGATTGGTTTTTCGTGGCTCTGGAGGCTTGCGGCGGCGGAACTCGCGATCTATCTCCTATTCTGGAAATTTTAGGGTTCGTAGGTATATATGGGTGAAAGGAGTACGTCGGTGGAGCTACGGGGGCCCCACGAGGCAGGGGGCGCGTCCAGGGGGGAGGGCGCGCCCCCCACCCTCGTGAGCATCTCCCGTATCGTCTGACGTGGAGTCCAAGTCCATCAGGTGGGTTTCCTTCCAAAAATAACTTCTCCAGTTGATTTCGTTCCGTTTTGACTCCGTCTGATATTCCTTTTCCTCGAAATACTGCAATAGGCATAAAACATCAAATCTGGGCTGGGCCTCCGATTAATAGGTTAGTGCCAAAAATAATATAAAAGTGGATAATAAAGCCCAATATTGCCTAAAACAGTAGATAAAGTAGCATGGAGCAATCAAAAATTATAGATACGTTGGAGACGTATCATTGTACAAGGCTTGACTAAACATTTACGATGGTTTTGCATTTGTTACTACTGCCTGTTATGGAAAATGGCATCAACTTTCTGCTGGCATGTACTAATACTGCTACAGCATATCCATTTTTTGAACCTTTTATTTTGTATTTGTGTTCATAGCATCAATCCAAGACGCTGCTACTTGTGTAACGTATACGTCCTGTGTATACGCTCGATCAGGGCCAGAAGGAATCGGCCGCCGCTTGCTTGTAGGAGCACACCGTTGGAAAGTACTCGACGGCTGCGTCGGCAAGGTCAAGATATAACTATATTTAAGAACCTATATCCTGGTCGACTCTCCATTTGGGTGGCGAAGGAAGGCCAGAGTCTCAGCGACCAAGTCATGCCCTTGGGTATCCTGTTAGTTTCACCAAGCGGATGGATATAGGCAAGGGCCGTACCTACTTTGTCTTTTGGGGTGGCATGTTTTTTTTATTTAAAACGAAACTTTATTCATTTGAAATAACCAGTACATCGTCTGTGAGGATCATTACAATTTCATTTGGAGGTTCCTCAAACCAGTCGAAAGTCGAAGAAAATCTAGCTAATCTAGCAAGTTCATGAGCTACTTTATTTGCCTCTCTATTACAATGTTCGAATCTAGTCGTGACAAAATCACATGCATAGTCTCAACCACCTCCGCTGATTGTCCTCCTTCCTGCATGGTCTCAACCACCTCCATGTTGTCTGAGTTGATGATTAGGCGGTTACACCCCGCCCTTTGCGCCATTGTTAGTCCAAACTTGAGAGCTAAAGCTTCAGCCATCAAAACATCCGCACAATAGTCAATCTTTCCATTTCTTCCTGCAATGAACCTACCTTTGTGGTCTCTTAAGACTGCCCCATCGTACCCTTCAATTTTTGGGGTGGCATGTTTAGTTTTAGCTTTATTGACGACAAGACTAAGCTTCAAAGCTTGTGATGTGGTCGTGTGGCTGCGACCCAAATGGAGAGTTGTGTGTGTGGCTCCACCACAACCTTACATTTACTCCAATCCACGGAATTAAGGAGAGGCTTGAGGCTCAAAATAATATGCGCAAGAATTATGGCTTATGAATGAGCCATAATGACAAAATAAGCATTTAGCGACTTTGGTTTAGTGTTTTTGCCTCGAAATAATTTAAACCCTGAAGCCATTCCGTGGTCGTTGGATGTTTGGAGACAACATGCCCATTCATTGCCGGTGGGCTTTTCTCCTCCTGAGTCGGCGCGTTCCTCTTCCCCGGTGCTTCGTTCGCGGAAGATGGCCTAGGCGTCTAAAAGCTTCATGTCCTTGTCTACTTGTTAGCTTGTACCGTGTGAAGCTTTTGTGAGTCGTTTTCCAGCGCCTTTGTATCTTACCTGTGTTGTTTTTCTAGCTTTTTTTTTCTTTGTTAGTGGTTGTAATCTTTAGTGGAAATATCAGATTTAGTGGAAATACCGTGTGAGGCTTTACATGTTTTTTTTGAATGAAAGGGGTTGCCTCCCTGCCCCACCATTTTATAGAATGAGGCGGGCCTTTGTATGTTGTGTTTCTATGTTTGTTTGTTAGTGGTTGTAATCCTGAGTGGAAATGTTAGATTACTTATTGCAGTGTACACAATCACACCGGCATGCACGGGGACATTTTCTTTCCTATATGGAATTGAAGGCAGAAAATTCACATACGCATAGATCCGGTAATTAACCACCATTGTCAGAAAATAAAAAATAGAAAATCCCTGATAGTTTTGCATCAAAGTAGTTAGCATGTTGTTTATTACGAGTAACTTGTACACCCAGGCAACGAATCATCCTGCACTTAATTGACATATGTGTGATTTGTGGATCGACGCAATGGCGCAGCACACTCCATTTATCTCTATCAACACATGTACACATGCTGGCTACATGTATTTGCAGGCAGTGATTGCCAAAAGAAAGCACATATCCATGTGCAATTTCATATGCAGTGACGCAAGTAGAAACAAAGAATGGGAAAGAGATTGGGAAGCTCGGCATCGGTGGTTCTTATGTCGGCAGTTGAGGGGCCACGGAAGCGACGTTGCTGACGGAGCAGCGCCAACGTACCGTAGGCAGAGGGGGAGAAATATGCAGATTAGGGCGGTGGTCACCGGCGAGGTAGTGCAGGTGTGAACGGAACGCGTGGCGCTACTTGCTCGTGTGTTCCTCTTCCACGATTAGTTTTCTTGCAGCGAATTGAAATGTATTGTCGCAATGTTTATACACAGATACGCTTTATGCATCCAAATTCTGAAAGTACCGATACTTAGACCCTAAATCGTTTTTATAGTCTTGAATATCCAGTTGTTCTAGCAGTTGGATCTTTGGAACACAAAACTCATTACTAATTTTATGCCCTTTTTTGGACGGTAACTTGGCATGTGATTGCTCCTGACTTATAGGTCATGCATAACTAATTTCTGAATGTACTTTCTTTTTTGCGGGGGAAGTTCTGAATGTACTCCACTACAGGTCACCTTCTCAAAGAGTTGGAAACCATTGTAGAATTATTATTTTTTGGATTCACGTGCCTTATCTGATCAAAGGGTCGGCGGCCGTTGTAGTGTTTTTGAAGTCACAGGGCTTATCCTCTCAGATCTTCTACTGGTGGAGCTTGCACTTTGTACATCCATATTGTGAGCTGAAATGTCACTGAAATAAGAGATAAGTGAGTAGATCAAGTTAGTGCTAAATAATAATTTCACAGAAAACAACAAAACAAAAATATGAGAGAAATATCTCACACTAGTCCACCGAAGTTTTGCTTTGGTGGCATGTCCAGCTCATCTAAGCTTCTCTCGAACATTTCAAGAACTCTCGTTATAGTAGGGCGATATATAGGTAATACTTGTATACACCACAATCCCACTAAGGTCATTTTTCTTGCTACCTCCGCAGTTTCACTTGTTACATCACATGCTTGCATACCTTCGTCCTGAGCAAAATGGTCATAAATCCAATCTGGGAAATACTTTTCGCTGGACTTTGCAACAAATGATTTTACGTTTCTCCTTCCTCCGACCATCTCCAACAGCATCATTCCATAACTATAAACATCTGACTTGGTTGAAACCACTCCGACTGTTCGAGAGTGAACTTCTGGAGCGATGAATCCAATTGTTCCTCTAGCACCGGTCATTGAAACCTTGCTTTCTTTTGTATGACACAATTTAGCTAGACCAAAATCAGCAATTTTGGGGCTAAAATCCTTGTCTAGAAGGATATTTTGAGGCTTGATGTCGAAATGTACGATGCGTGTATTACAACTATGGTGCAAGTATTCGAGACCACGAGCAATCCCAATTGCTATTGCATAGAGCTTATCCCATCCTAAAATTTCCTTGGGGTCTTCTGAGTAAATGAACTTATCCAAGGAATTGTTGGGCATGTACTCATATATAAGAGCTCGTTTTGATCCCTCCAAACAGAACCCAAACAAGCTAACAACATTAACATGAGAAGTCCTGCCAATGCTCATTACCTCATTCACGAACTCACTCCCATTTCCCTTGCATTCATGCAATAATTTCACTGCTACTAGGCGGCCATCAAGTAGCGTTCCTTTGAAAACCACACCATAACCACCTTTTCCAAGCACATTGCTGCGAGAGGATGTTATCTTCATTACCTCTAAGTACATGTATCGTTTTGGAGCTAGGGATCCATACGATGCAATCATGGCCTCGTAATTATTTTCATTGTTTCCGCTGGTCTTTTTGCAAAGGAGAAACCATAGTCTTCATCCTTTTCTATGCCATATCAGCACATTAATACACGAGAATAGCAAGGTTGCAGCTGCTGATGTCAAAACTGAGAAGAAAGCATGTGTTAGTTCCTTTTGTAAGCTAGAGGCTATAGTATAGTAATTATGATTTATGATTTCCAAGACCATCAGTAGTTTAAATTTCTCTTTATGTGACATTGTGTGGTGGCAAAAGTATTAACAAGCTAAATTCCATAAATTCTTGCATTAGGGCATCTCCAACTCTGACCCCTAAATCGGACACCGTATTAGTCCGCGGAACGGTGGGGACTAGTCCATGGAGAGTGATGCGTGAGGGAGCCATCTAACCCTTAATCACAAAAATCCCCATTTGTCCGGATGGGAGGAGAGAGGACTGATTATAGGCATGATAAGTTTTGAATTTACTATTTCACCATAGAAAAACAGTATTAGTGGACTACTCGTATTTAAACATTTGTTTGTGAAAAGATGGTGAAAGTTTTAGCATACCTATTATCATAATTTTTGTGACGGCCCTCCTGGTACCTGGAATATGACATGACATTTATGAGTAAAACCTCTGTTGTCCAATAATACTACCCCCACCGTTCTAAAATATAAGACGTTTTGGTAGTTCAAATTGAACTGCCTAAACGTCTTATGTTTTGGAACAGAGGGAGTACATTGGTTATTTTTTTGAAATAGATAGGGGTAGTATATGAATCTTCACATTTTGCAAATGAAATGTGTATGGAAGAAAGAAAGAAATTTCAAGATATCAAGAACGATAGAACATGGACTACATATGTGACTTTCTTTTGATCGAATACAGGTTTGGCAAAAAAGAGGGTCACATCTCACTAGTCATTTGAAATGTATTCCAAGTCTTCAACTGTACTCTAGCTTGTCTGATACTAGGGAATCGACACCAACGCTAGGCAATATCAAACATCTATAATTGAGTAAAATTGTTTTCTTTATGCGTCTGATTTGGTAACAGGTACCGCCAATATGTGGTGGTGCTGGGGCATACACTTATTGAGGCATATATCCGAATAAACTCAGCTATTTTTAAGAAATATAGTATATATTTTGTGAATGCAGGTTGAGTATACCAAAAAAAAAAAGCTTTTCTACTATTTTGCAAGTGGTTTTTCCATCAAGGCTGAAAAACTCTTGTTGGGGTTGGTAGCTGACTGACCTCTTGTAGCAGGCGTCACTGCTGGAGCTGCCGCCGGTGCGGCTGTCGGTTTTGGCCTCTGTGCGGCCGCCTTGGCCTGCAACAGGACCATGGCGTCGCCACAGTAGAACTGTTCCAAGTCGGACCTCAAGGTGCACCGCGGACCAGCCATCCTGGTGGCCTGCACCAGGAACATGGTCGACCACCTTCCCAGGAAACCTTGTAGGCAGCTTCGGCACTGCGTCGGTGACAGGTCTGGCGCGCACTGCGCTTCCGAGTAGATAGGGGAACCCCGGGCCGGGCCCTGCCCATTGCCCCATGGCGAAGAGCCTGGAGGAGTTGACCACCGCATACTGCACCGTGGCGTAGAGAAGGCCGGCGACCGCCCTTCTGTAGCCCTGGAACTGGAAGTCGTTGCTGGTGATGAGGTTACCCTCGTCGTCGCCGACTTGTACCTCGCCGGAGTTGTCGGTGGGGTCGTTGAGGAAGTCGTGTTTGGCTAGGCGGACGTAGCAGTGGTTGTAGCAGAGGGCCACGCCCCTGCTGCGGTTGCAGGCTGTGGCCGCGTCCCGACCGGCCCCGGTGACGCAGTCGTAGCAGTCGGAGGCGCTGATGTCGCCACGGCAGAGAACCAGGGCCCATGCAGTGTCCGGCGCTGCGTCGAGGGATCCTTTGGCGAATAGGGAGGGCGAGGAGGTGGCGTTGTGGCGGAGGATGCGGAGGAAGACGTCTAAGAGGTTGGTCTCCTATGTGCTGCCGGCCGAGTAGTTGCCTCCGCCACAGAGAGACAACGGCGATTCTGTGTTGTTGCAAAGACTGAACCACCGGAGCACGGCGATCACCGGAGACATGACCAGAGTGGAGGAGGAAGAACACAGAAAGATTGCCGGCGCACAAACCCTCCCCCGCACGTACGGGACTTTCTGTTATTCAACACGAGCACGAACTCATCCTCCTCAGCGATTACACAGGGATGGTATGGACCTTATACCCGCGAGCTCCGACATTCCGGGCCGCACTCAAACGCACCCACCTGCCACTCGCCACGTCCCGCGTGCACCGGCTCGTGCGCTCCGATCGCGCCCGCACGCGATCGCCGCGGCCATGCAGCGCCCGATGCAGTCCACTCCCCCAAAACCTCGCTCAGAGATGTGCAGCCTCGCGCACACACGCGCTGACCCGCACACACACACGCCTACACGCACGCACGCACCCAGGCTCACTCTGGCTCGAGCCCGACACGACCACCACACGCACACACGCGCTTGCCGTGTCCGCAGCCTAGCTGAGGCTTATATGCCCTACATTTCTCCAACTAAGCCGAGGCTCAGAGGAGGCCGTAGTCCCCGACGTCGACGTCCTCCAGTAGCGCCTACCCCGCCGCGCCGTCGTCGTCGTAACCGCCATCGCCCGCTGCCGCTGCCGAAGCCAACAGCTCCATGCGCCTCCGCGCCGCGTCTGCGTGCCACACCCCACGTCCCCGCGCTCCCGGCCCACGCCCCCGCCGCGCACGTACGCGATCTGCGCACCAGGTCCAGCGCCTCGACGTGGTCCGCACCCGCGGTCCCGGCGCGTCCGACGCGTCCGGTGCGCACCCATAACACGCACCGGTCGCGCCCGGCTCGCCACCGCGCCTCATTCGCCACCGGGCTGCTGTGTGTCGTCGCCTCGCCTCTGCTTCCACCGCACGAATGACGTCACAACGAGCCACAGCCGCGCCCGCCTCCGTGTTCACCACGGACTCGCCGCGCCACAGCCCCGAGCCGCGAGGCTCTGATACCAAATGTTGTTGCCAAAACCG